GGGTCCTGGGATCGAGCCCCACATTGGGCTCCCTGCTCCGCGGGAAGCCTGCTTCTCCCTCTCCCACTCCCCCTGCTTGTGTTCCCTCTCTTGCTCGGTCTCTCTGTGTCAAATAAATAAAATCTTAAAAAAAAAAAAAAAAAAAAGAATGTCCCCCCCCTGTGATTTTCATCAGGGTACTGGATTTGTTTCAGATCTGATGGTCGCTGCAGGTTTCCAAAGATCATTCTATGAAAAACACGCTTGATGAAATGTCTCCTATTGCTGTATCATAAAGTGGGAATCAAGGTCTAAGTGAGCAAATTCTTTCTGAAATGGCTTCCCAGACTGTTTGCCAAAGGTCACTTACGGCATCTGACTACTTTTCAAGGGTACACTTCACTCTTGCAGTTGTAAACTTTGCCTCTTTCATCGCCATCACCTGTTCATTCAACAAATGCTTTCTTAGTGCCTACTTACCATGTGCCAGGCAGTGAGTTAGGTGCTGGCAGAGAAGAAGATGAGAAATGGCTCGGAGAGGGGGGGTAGTTCCTGCCCTCAAATGGTTTATAGTCCAGGAAGGATACCAGATAAAATGAATATATTTCATAAAATCTAAGACACTTGTTTTTAAAATGCACCCTGACCTGAGATGTTAAAATGTGAAAGCCTTAGAATCAATGAAATAATATTCTTCAATGTAATAAACACTGTAATAGTTGTAGGAATAAGGCACTGTACCAGTGAAGTAGATTTGTGAATCCCAAGTGCCTTGGGAAGCCTTGGGAAGCAAAGGGGAAATTTCATGAGGATTAACAACAGCTAGCATAATTTTAGTTCTTTACATGTATTAATTCATTTAATCCTTACCTGTCTGTGAGATAGGTACGAATTAGTCACTGTGAAAAATAAGAGAGATGAGACAAAAAAGTTAAGTCATTTCTTCAGGGTTATATGGCTAGGAAGTGATGGAAGGAGGATTCTGACCCTGGGCAATCTAGCTCAAGTTCACATTCAACTTCCACAAGGTGTTTGAGCTGAGCGTTGAAGAATCAATCCATTGGGTAGACAAGGGAAAGGCATTCCAGGCAGAGGGAACAGCTTACACAAAAGCATAGAAACACAAAAAGACATTGTTAAGGGAAGTGAGCTCAGTGTGGCTGAATCATAAAGAATGTAAGCAGTAGACAGATGTGGCTGGAGAGGTAGATTGGGACCGGAGTGTAAAGGGTTTGATGTGTTCAGTCAGTGGTTTTCAAAAAAAAGGGTTTCCTCCAAAGCCACAGACCCGTTTCCCCCAAACGGAATCTTATGTGGAATGGCAAGAGGAGCTGCTTTCTGTGGCAAGGGCACTTCAATATGGCCTCCTCCTGGGGTTTCATGCCCAAGTCTGAGGACCACCGAAGAGCCGATAGATAAGGAGGCGGCGAAGCCGTTGTACAGCCTGAGCCCTAAGCCAGTGGCAAATCCTGGCTCTACCACTTTTTTAAACTAATCTCTACACCCAACATGGGGCTCAAACTCACGACCCTGAGATCAAGAGCCGTTTGAGCGGCTCTTCCGACTGAGCCAGCCAGGCGCCCCTGGCTCTACCACTTCTAACTGGGAAACTTTGGACAAATTACCTAACCTGTGACTCCAGTCCCTCACATGTAAACTGGGATTAGTAATAATTCACATCACAGGGCTCTTGCAAGGAATGAGGTCATATTTGTGAAGCATTTCCAATGGTGCCTGGCACATAGGTATGTGCTCTTAAAAATGGCAGTGTGCAGGATGAATTGAGAGAGCCTGGAAAGACCACTTTGAGGGAGAGATAACGTAAGATACGTGAAGTAAAATATTTGCGTAGGATTTGGTGACTGGTGCAGTAGGTGGTACAAGGAATTTGCTGAGAACATTGTCAAAGTTTTTAGCTGAAAATGGTAGGTCGCTTATGCTGAACTATGGAATGTTTACTCTATCTACATATTTCACAGCAAGCATTATGTGTAGGGTGCTGGACAGGAACCTACCATCTGACTGGGAGTTAGACATGAATAAAAAAGATAGTGATACAACATAGCAGCCACTGTTTAGGTGACAGACCCTAGTTCTAGTACCTGAGAGCCAGCCACACGTGGCCTGCAGCGGCTTCCATTCAACACGGTGCAGGCTAGGGCGAAGGGTTCGTACGAAGAATGATGGAGGTTCTAGTTAGAGGTAGGGGTCAAACTAGAGGGGTCTGAATGCCAGACTAAAAAGATGGAAAGCCTTTGAAAGACTGAGCTGATAAAGCAGTTTTTGGAAAGTTAATCTGGTTGGTGCTACCCAGCATTAAGACTGGAGGTCGTGTTTAATGCCAGTCGCCATAGCAGTATTTACTTCTTTCTGTGACACCGTTCCTCCGTCAGTTTATCGCTGATGGTACAGACTGCCTTCCCAAGCATATACCTTTATGCCTCACCAAAATACAGGTTTGCTGGCTTGGGAAACTGGGGCAGAGGTATGCAGATGCTTCCCTTCAGAAGACAGGCTTAGATGCTAAGGCTGCGTCTCTGTGTGGTGCCGAAGTATGGCTAAGGCGCTAAAAAAAGGCCTTTTGATTAAGGCTGATGGACGTTGAGATTCAGCCAGAGTATCAAACACTGCAGACTGATGTGCTACAGGTATACCAAGGGTGACTCAGAGAACCAATTAGTTAGACCCTTCTAATAACGGCATGTACCCAAACTGGATTCCTGTCTTCTTCTTCTTCAAAATCTGAGGTGAAATCATTACCCCTTTAAAATAGGCCTTCCAACTTCAACTTCCCTTCCCTTCCCATCTCCCTCATGCTTCCCGAGGATCCACGCCAGCTAGCAGCTATGCCAGAGACTGACTGGCTGACATCTTCCTTACCTCACTCCTCAGGCATTAATCCTGGGCAGAGACAGTTTACAGAACATATCCTGTCTGGTTTTGGCAGAATGGGAAACAGTTATCTTACGGCTCCTGAGGGCCTCCAGGGCATTGCTTCTTCATCTTCCAATTTAGCATTTTGGAATGAATTCAGTCTTTTAGTGTAATGAGTACAGGATATAGGAAATTAACCATTGTGATAGCCAACATCCTAATAAAGCACCTATTTGCATAGGATGTTACAGTTAAGTACCAGGTAGAGCTATCTTGGTCTTGAAGGAGGTTCAAATATAAAACTTGTATTTACTGTTTTTCCTGTAAACAACTGGACTTCTAGTACTTGAACTCTCCTGGAATTACAGTTAATAATTGCTTACAAAGAATTTTTTTTCTTTTTTTTTTAAGCTCCACACCCAACACGGGGCTCGAACTTAGAACACTGTGATCAAGAGTTGCATGTTCCACAGACTTGAGCCAGCCAGGTGCCCCAAGACTTGGTTTCCTTTAACTTAAGTTGCAGGATGATATAAAAACTGATTATCCTAATAGAAACAAACTTGCACAAGCCAGAGGTCCATGAAACTCTCAGCACACCAACTAGAGGACCAAAATCCTCCCCCACACTTAAAACTGCAAAATAGGGGCACCTGGGTGGCTCAGTCGTTAAGCATCTGCCTTCGGCTCAGGTCATGATCCCAGGGTCCTGGGATCGAGCCCCACGTCAGGCTCCCTGCTCCGTGGGAAGCCTGCTTCTCCCTCTCCCACTCCCCCTGCTTATATTCCCTCTCTTGCTGTCTCTCTGTGGCAAATAAAATCTTTTAAAAACAAAACTCCAAAACAAAACAAAACCCCTCTGCAAAACAAAACAAAAATCCCTCTGAGCACCCACCCACCCTTTGCAGGATTCTATTAAACAGTCATCTGCGGGTACAGACAAGACCCCTTTTAGGTCACCATTGGCAAGAGTAGGATCGCTTTGTCCGAACACCTCTTTGAACCTCAGATTCTCAACCTCAATACTGGTGTGAAGGTTAAACCATGTGTAAAAAAGTGCTTTATCAACTGTAACGGACAATGTTCATTTTTTACTATTCTGTTCATTAGAGATGTTCTTGGCCTTCTTTTACTATTCTGTTCATTAGAGATGTTCTTGGCCTTCTTTTACTATTCTTCATTAGAGATGTTCTTGGCCTTCTCACTGCAGGAACAGCTGGAGGAAATGGAAGAACGACAGAGGCAGTTAAGGAGCGGGGTGCAACTCCAGCAACAGAAGAACAAAGAGATGGAGCAGCTAAGGATCAGCCTTGCTGAAGAGCTCTCCACTTATAAGTCAGTTTCTGCTGCTACTCAGATCTTAACCAACACTGGCTGAGGGGATGGTGGTGAGGGCAGATGTTGCTCGGGGGAAATTTCACTTAACAGGGAAAAGCAAAAAAGTGACTTGGGAAATGATTTCCAAATTGTGCTCATTCATGACAGATGGAAAATGGATCTCTTTTTTTAAAGGGCTATGCTACCCAAGAGCCTGGGACAGGCTAACGCTCCCACTTCTCAGGCAGGTGGAACCGAGACACAGTCTCAAGGTGATCCTTGAGGGTGTAAGAGTGGTGTTTGCTTTATTGCTACTCCTAACTTAACAATACTAATGCCTTAAGAAAAGAGTGTGTCAAATGACAAGTCCATTAGGAGTAACGCATACCTCCACATTGCCTGGTTTAAGCATTCAGGGGTCACTTGGAATGTTTGTTTCTAGCAGGACTCAAAATATGCTCTAATTATCACCAGGAATTCTCTAACAGGATGACACATCCAGGCTCTGTGCATTCTTACTTTCCTTGGCCTATCCTACCCCGTCTGCTATTCATAAATAGCTTCCTTAGAATAGCAGAGAAGACAGTTATGCTACCTAATTCAGACTGTGACAAAGGAGGCCAAAAGGCTAAATTAATCTCGAAGTCATAAAGAAGGCTCAAGTGGATGTTGTTTATAGCCTGTGGGACAGGATTATTGCTTAATATATGAAACAAGCAAGACACCTATCCATTCATTTCTTTATATACTAATGTTCTTATATTCTGTATAAAGTCCTAGATTCTCTAGGATAAAGAAACTAAGGATTAAAAAAGGTCTGGGTCAAGTTGTATACTAGACAGATGCCCATAAATATTATTCTTAATTTCCTAGTTAATCTTGTGTCTTGGATACAAACTCACAAATAACAATTATAACTGATACTTTTCCTAACTTATTAGCATTTTCTTTTACGTGTTTTATCCAGGCATGACTGATTGCGCTTACTGTTTGGGAGATTAGAGAACCTTGTAATTGAGGAAAATGATATGTTAAACACCATTGTGTGGATCAGATTAAAAGTACAATAGGGAAAGGGCAACAACTCATCTTAAGAAACGAAACTACAGAACCCCAGTACTCTAATACCCATGTATGGTTAACCTGGGCAGAGAAAATCTCTAGCTAGCCCCTCCCATCACCACCACATAGGTCACCATTCATTCTATTTTGTAAATAGGAGGCACCCAAATAGGCATTTGGTGAGGAGAAATGCATCGCTAATCATATGTAAATTACACTCTAGCACTCTCCCCAGCTTAGCCAGCACTAACTAAACTTCCGAAGTTCGCTGTGATGAACTTTACACCGTATTATTTCAAGTTGCACCAAGTATGAACTTAATTCTTTTTTCTTTTCTCAACCTTGCAGGGGCTGTTTAGAAACGTATGGCCGAATCTGTAACCCAGAAACAACAAAAAACCTTTTAGTAAAGGATCACTAAGTACCCTTTGGACATACTTTTTTTCCAGAGAAGGGAGTGCCAAGGACTTGGCAAGCAATTCACCCTGGGAAAGTTACAAATACTGGCTGACCTGTTTTAAATGAACCTTCTGTCCTCTGGCAGCAACTCCCATGTGCACAGAGTAAATGATGGATGTATGGACACTTTAGTGTTGTGAAGAATGTATCTTGCCTTGTATTGACCCAAAACTTTTTGGAGCACAGGTAGGGTCAAAAGGCAGCAGATTTTCATGATATGGGTTTACAATTTGAATTCTTTTGTGCCATGAGTGTTAGACTTTAAAGTTTGTGTGGATTCCTACAGTTTACTCCTGTGTCAAGGTAATTTTCACTACACTCAGAACTACTGACTTGGAAAAAGAAACCAATCTAGATTTGAACCTAAAGGTTTAAGAATATTCAGATTTCCCCAAAGACTGTGCCTCATGAAAATGATTTTGGGTCAGAGTGATGTACTCTGTTAAACTGAGTGACTGGCAAAGAACCAGGCATTTTATCTGGTTATGGCACTTGGTGATAAAGACTTTCAAGAGCCTATTATTTCTAACCTCTAAATACAGGCTCCAGTGAAAAACATACTGGGGAGAGTCAACCTCTCTACGGGAAAAGGTTCAAACACCTTTTCCAAATATAAAGTCTGCCTTAAATGCTCTCTGCCACATTGCCTTTGACAGTCTTGGAAGTCCACGTAGTTCTCTAGGGACAGACTTCAAAAAGATGTTATGTTATCAAAGACTAATCTGTGTACCTCTGGCTCAGTGTTTCATGTCTTGCACTTTCCCTGGGAAGGAGTAAAGCTCTTTTCTATAGCTCTGGGTCTATTATATTTAATTCTGCTCTTGATAGTCGAAGACCATACACAGTAACTGTCCTCTGAACAACTCTTCAAGAAGCCAGACTGGTGTTTGATGAATGTTGTATACCAAATAAAACCCATCAGCATGGGGTTACGTAGAAAAGCAATTTATTCCATTATAAGCACTTACACAGTTAGTCATGGAGAGTAACAGGCCTGCTGGTGAAACAGGTCACCCAAAACAGAGATGGTACCAAACTAGTGGTCAAAGACTAACTCCTAAAAAAAAAAAAAAAAAAGCAACTCTTATCCAGGATTAATTTAATTTTAAAAACAAATACAAGCTATCAGTTCACTCTTCTCAACTGGACAGTCTACCTGTGGTATAACTGTCAGGTAAAAACATACATCTTTACAACTTGGTGGTCCCAAGTTTTTTAAAAAACCATTTCACAGAAAGGAAAGAAATATGAAATCAGCTCAAGAAATACACTAACAAGCAAAAATATATGGGGGAAAGAGGAACACATAGTTTTGACTTAACTGAAGAAACTGAGAGGAGACTGGTCTACATAGGAAAATGTGCATCCTGGAAAGTCAGGTGTGAAAATTTTAGAATAGGAATTTATATGACTTGAATCTCCCCCATTTCCTGAATAAAAATGACATCTTGTGGTATTTATACTTTTATACTTCATGGCTCAGACACCTACCTCACTTGGCTCTACTCCTTCCTTACTTTAGCCTTTACTTAAAGGAGTCTGAAAAACTTGGGGATATAGCCTAAGAAGAAAAATAACCACACATAATATTCCCCTTTCTGTGGCTACTTTAGACCTTTGTTACTAGAAAATTCCTAAAGAAAATTTAAATATAAGTCTGTGGCTTTACTGAATCAAGTCCCCCAGTTAATATTTAGAAAACACCCTCTGTTTGGGCTAATAACATTGTTGATGGTACCTATCATAGAGAGATAGCCAAACAAAGTCTGTGTCTCAAAACCAGTGTTAAATCAATCTCAGGGTTGAGAGGAAAAAAAAGGGGAGTCTAAAATCACAACAAGTGCAGACATATCTAGGACCCTTGTCCTTCTGGATCCACGCTTCCTTCAGGATCTTCATCATTATAAATGTTCTCTGCCTGCCCAAAAACAAGAAACAGAGAAAAAGATATTTAGTAAACATGAAGGATACTTCTTGAAGTTAAAGTTTCAAAAACAGACTAGGCCAGGGAGACAGATTGTGAGCCACAGTCTCTGTAGCAACTATTCAACTCTGCAGTTGCTGCATGAAAGCAGCCAGGGACCATCTGAAAATGAATGGGTATGAATGGCTGTGTCCCAACAAAAACAGGCAGCTGGCCCACAGGCCAACTAGATTAGGACATTCCCACAAAACTGAAGTACGGTTACTATTTGTCTTGATACTCAACCTTCAGGAGTCCTTCTACTGGACATTATTCACAAGAGTCACGAAGTAAAAACAACACAAATGTCCATTAAATGACCAATGAATAAATAAAAATGTTATCTGGCAATAAAAAAAAGCTAGTCACATATTGCATTTTTAATTTATATTAAACGTCCAGAACAGACAAATCCATAAAGTAGATTGGGGGTAATGCTGGGAGGACTGGAGGAAAATGGGGAGTGATGCTTAGTGGGTAGGGGGTTTTTCTGAGGGGTAAATTACTGTGATGACAGTTGTATAATTCTGTGATTATAAGAAAATAAATTAGAAAGTCTTCATTAAGAGCCCACCCTCAAACCATGGGTTTCAAAACTCAATTTATAATTTTTTTTTTTAAATTTATTTATTTGACAGAGAGATAGCACAAGTAGGCAGAGCGGCAGGCAGAGGGAAAGGGAGAAGCAGGTTCTCTGCTGAGCAGAGAGCCCGATGCGGGGCTCGATCCCAGGAGCCTGGAATCATGACCTGAGCTGCTTAACCGAATGAGCCACCCAGGCGCCCCAATTTATAAATATTTTTAAAAGAAAACTGCTTTAGCATAAAATAAACTCTACTTCTATTACTTGATGAAAAACTTGCATCCAAAGGCATAATCTTTTTTTTTTTTTTTTTAAAGACTTTATTATTTATTCGACAGAGAGAGAGAGACAGCAAGAGTGAGAACACAAGCAGGGGGAGAAGGAGAAGCAGGCTCCCCGCAGAGCAGGGAGCCCGATGCGGGGCTCGATCCCAGGGTCCTGGGATCATGACCTGAGCCTAAGGCAGACGCCCAGTGACTGAGGCACCCAGGCGCCCGAAAGGCATAATCTTAAATACAGAAAACACTTTCATTTGGGCAAAGTTTACTGTTCTTACTTAGCACCTACTATGCACAAATCACTAGGCTACGTGCTGCAAAGGATGGGATAGTCTTCTCTTCAAAGAGCCTGTAATCTGACTGCAGGAATAGGAAAATATACAATTGTGTAATGTTTTCTGACGACAAATATATAGTCTCTTTTTCACCCAACTGAGTGTCTAACAATTCAATTCAATCCTGACACTAACTGCACCCGAAAGTAGCATCAGACTCCATAGGTTTAAGGGCGTAGTCCCACAAGACTATGATCCTCACTTCAGAGGCCAGAGTCAAGCCCTGAGTGCCTAGACTACCCATGCACTTCTGTCCAACTTGGCTATCAACTCAGGAGTTTCCACAAGCCATCCCCCTCCCCCCACCAACCCTGCCACCTTAGGTTTGATAATTTGCTGGAATGACTCCTGGAATCATGAACACGCCTTGCTTACTATTAGCAGTTTACTATACAGCTTACAACTCAGGAAACGCCAAATGGCAGTGAAGCACAGGGCAAGGTGAGAAGGGAACGCAAAGCTTCTAGGTCTTCTCTGGGCAGCATCAATATATTCAACAACCCGGAAGCTCATCGAATCAAGAGGGTACATAGAGCCTTTTCAACAGTTTTACAGAGCTCAATCCCCTCTGCCTGTGGGTGGGAGGGACTGAAAAGTTCTCCAATCACCTATTTGGTCTTTTGGGAGACCAACCCCATCCTGAGGCTTGCCAGTGGCCCTAAGTTACCTCCTTAGCCTAAACTCAGATGTGGCCAAAAGGGGCTCCTTATAAACAGCAACAGAGACTTCTACCACTGAGATAACCCCAAGGGTTTTAGGAACTTGGACAAAGACAAAATATTTACTTGTTTTACAATTCTTTTTTTTCTTTTACCACAACTCTAAAAAAACTGAGTAAAGGAACAACCTGGCCCGAAGGTGATATAGTTCAATCTCCTACAACATTCCCATGGCAACTACTAACATATCTTTAATTGACAGGTTATCCAAGGCAGCACATTTCACCTTCCTGTCAGAACTCTTAACTTTTTATATTAATTATACGTGGGTGTATTACAAGGAAAAAGGGGAGGTAGATCTTCTGTTTACACGTGTACTACATACTTATTATTACAAATTATAATACACCGAAATGTATAAAGAAATCCAAAAACTCCCTAAATATACCAGCCACATTATGACAAACAAGCGTCTAAACAGTTACATATAATTAAATTCAAGACTAGCTACAATAATTTTTACTTTTTAAAAAGTATTTACTTATTTATCTGAGAGGAAGCGGGAGAGAGGGAGAGAGAGTGTGCAAGTAAGGATGAGCAGGGGTGAAGGGGGGCGGAGGGAGAAGCAGACTCTCTGCTGAGCAGGGAGGCCGATATGGGCTTGATCCCAGGACTCTGGGATCATGACCTGAGCAGAAGGCAGTGCTTAACCAACTGAGCCACCCAGGCACTCAAGCTACAATAATTTTAATATGAGGGATTATAACATGATATTGTTCTACAATCCGCTTTTTCCCTACTTCATGTCATGAATATCTTATAAAAACTAAGCATATTTCTTTTTGATACATGATATTCCAAAGTATGGATATACCATATAATTTGTTAATCTCATAGGCCACAAAAACTCTCATTTCTTTTTCTTTTCATTTTATTTCTTTAACTTTGATTAATAGTGCTTTTTTTTTT